CCTACTTTTAGGTTTTACCTTGGGTTACTATAATGTACTTCACAATTGTATGAAAAGTTGTTCAAATGAATGTAGTTCGACGTTTTATGAAGAGCTGGTGATCAATCAACCATAGTTGAATAAAGTTTTTTGCGGTTTGCGTTTAGGGCCGTTTTCGCTACAAAGTTTCTCCCTCCTTTTATCGTTACTTGGTATTGATGAGGTTTTAGAAACCGCTAAAAATAGTACTTCTATTGAAATAAGTACTTTCGTACGTATTCAAGCTAAAGAAAAATCTCATACTATCTTCTTTAGTAATAATTGAAATGATTATTCTGATGATGAGTCAGATTCTGAAGTTGAAAATGTTCTTGATACACCTGTTGCGAGTTCGAAAAGCTCTTCCGAGGAAAAAGCTGAGGAGTTATTTATTAACTCAAGACAGAACAAATCACAGTTTCGAGAAATACGAGTTTACAGATGAATTCATTTTTTCGTATTAAGATTGATGAAGAAGAAAATTATATGCACAAACAAACTGCTTGCTGGCTTCTACTTGGCGGTAAAGCTTCCCCTTCTGATGATCGATTTCAGAGAGTTCAGCAAAGAAATCGATCACCTTCTAAAAGAAAATGAAATTGAAAATATGAGGTGTTGTGAGTATAAGGCATATTGAGGTGAAATGTTATGCTCAGTATATGTACTGTGTGGTATATAGATGGTGTGTGGTGGTTGGGTTACGTGTAATGTGCTGTGTGTTGTGTGACGCGTGATGTATCAGTATAGGACATGTGACAAAAGAAAAAGAAAGAACAGTATTTTGATGTATGATCTGTAGCTGCTTTTTCTCTTAATAAAATTCAAATCAATTTAACTACTTTGCTCGATATAGTAGTCTCAATCTTCATGTAATTGATGATATTTTTTGGTTTCTGATGTTGACAAAGGTCTTTTCTCGTTGCTTTTTATTGCCTGACATGAAATTCAAATGCCCTTTATGTGCTTTCTAAAGGTTTTCATTGATACAGTTGAGTTTTTAACTTAATTTAATGATGTACAGACTATAGCAAACATATAAAGGATACTCTGGGAATTCAGAGGATCCATTGGGGATCCGGAGGATCCAGAGGATACATTGGGGATCCAAAGGATCCAGAGGATACATTGGGGATCCAAATGATCCAGAGGATACATTGGGGATCCGAAGGATCCAGAGGATGCCGGGATGCCGGGATCCGCTTTTTCCCCCTTGATCTGGTGCGAGTTGTGTTTGTTTGGCAGATAAAATTAAACCAGAAGTCGAAAAAACTTCTTCGGACGGTGTCGAAGTAGCAGGAACAGCCAGAACTATTTGAGCTAATTGTGCCAAATGCGGATACGAACTTTGGGCGTTCTGCCAGCATAAAAGAATATCATCACACGCAACATTGACTTGCAAATAGGCGTTGGTTTCGCTCGATAATTGAGAATATTTAGCAGCTGACTCGCTGTGCAGTTCAATGAGACTTGTTTTGAGCTTCTTCAAGTCAGTGGGCTGCTTGTCGAGAGATTCGATTGAGAGACAGCGCTTGTCGGCAATATATACTGATGATGCAGAAGCACTTAACGACGTCGATGTAGAAGAACTATTTGTCGTTATCGAATCACTAGATGATAGTGTTGAATCTTGATTGTTATTCAATTTGAATCGTTCAATCATCGACTGAAGCAACTTCTCTTTGGACTTTCCGATGATTTGGAGGTAATCGTCAATATCAATTTTCGAAAGAGATGGGTCCAATATGAAAGCAGTACAACTGAGTTCGGAAACGGGTAAACGTTGTTCGATATTATTTCGAATGAGTTCCTTCAAATTGAACATGAATTCGTTGTCGTCTTCATCGGATTGAGAAATTCTTTCAATCTCTTTGCGAAGTAGAAGATAGAGATTTAACGTTGGATTTGCTTTTGAGGCCGATAGAATCGTTGTAGCACTTTTGAATGCCGAGAGATAGATCACGAGAACTTTGAGTAATTCCAATTCATCAAATGATGGAAGCATGTCGACACTATCCATTCGGGCAAGAACGATTCTGATTGCGTTGATATTAGGCAAGAACGATCGAAGCATGATGAGGATTGTGTTCCAGCGTGTACACACTCGCTTTTTGAGCGTATGGAATTTTTTTGATTCAGTGGAAGGATTTGTCGAATGATTTTCACGTTCGATCAACGTTGTTCGAAGCAATGCGAAATGTGTATTGTCATCATCTTCATCTTCATAAAGCGCAATCGGCGATGACATATCAGCATCTAATAGTTCAAACGTTGTATGGAGATCTTCAGTAATCGAATCATTTGAATCGTTCGTCGACAATAAGAATGCTTCACGTAGCTCATTCTCACGACATCTCAATTTGGAGATGATTGCTTGAACTTTATCAAGTGATATTGTTAGCCCATCGATTTTTGGAATGACGTCGACCATGAGTAGATTACGTAGTCCATGAGCAGCGCATGGTAAATACAAAAGATGTGCGAGACGCCAAGCTTTTTGTACGTTCGAGCCTTTGTCAGATACAATAATGATTTTGTTAGCATTCAAGCCAAAATCGTCGCAGACTTTGATCAAACGCTGCATAATCGCTTCACCCGTATGTGGATGATCGAACGGCTCATTTCGAAGTGTATACGAGCGAGAAATGAATGATGAATCGACGCAATGGAGAGTAAAACAAATATAAGAGCGATGTCTAAATTTATCTGTCCACATATCGCATGTCATACTTGAGTAATTCGGTGCTTTTTTTAATGCTTCTTTGACACGATCCATGTATGTATCATATAGTTTGTTTAAATGAAATGAACTAAGTGATGCGCGAGAAGGAATATCGTCAACACGGTTGATAATACCATATGCCATCAGAAAATCTTGAAAGCCTTCATTGAACACAATAGAAAATGGTAACAAATCGCGACAACACATCAATGTTAAATCAGAAGCAAGCCTTTCTTTACGATCTTTGTTCGAACTCGTCGTTGCATATTTTGACGGTTTGAAAAAATTTGAAACATGTTGAGCAGTTGTTTTTACTTGTTCTTTACTAATGATTGCATGTTTCATAGAAATATGTAAAAGCATGTTTCCAGTGCTTACGTTCTCGGTGTAATGAGTAAGTTGTTTCTGTATTAATGATGATGATAACAGGACATCAGGATGCTCGGCAAGTTGTTTGTCATAGCAAATCTTGCAATAAATATTCTTGTTATCGATCACTTCTTTCGTAACTGCCCAGGAGATTCAATCCGACCTGTAGATTCGATCGAAAACGATCGGATCCGCCTCGGATTTCATCGGAATCCGACATCTTTCATAAAAAACCAATCGGATCCGATAAGGTTTTTGTCGGATTCCCATCAGCCGGATTCCGGTTCGGGTTTCATCGGAATTCCACGGAACACGATGAAATCCGGGCCGGATCAGGTCGGATTTTGTCGCGTTCCGTCGAATTCCAATGAAATTCGGACCTGAATCCAGCTGATGGGAATCCGACAAAGGGTGTGGGTGCGGGTGTGGGTGGGTGTGGGTAGGTGTGGGTGTGGGGTGGGTGGGTGTGCGGGTGAAGCTGTTCATGAATAGACACTAACAGCCACACCCACACCCACACCCACACCCACCCACACCCACACCCTCGTATACGGACAAAAATAGGTACATAAATAAGCATATCATTGTGGAATCATTTGTTATTGGTAGTAGAATGTTAGGAAAAGTATTATTTCTCAATGTGAGTGAACTAAATGAAGACGATTTGTTTTACTCAAAGTACTTGTGACCAATAGCTAATAGAAACATTATTCAATCAATCAGTTATGTGAAGCACACACGACCTTTCAGCCTATTCCTTCCGTCGCAGTTATAAGTTTTACCTATCCTCACTTTACGCTGTTTCTTTTATTAATAAAATAACATATAATCCAAAAAGGTAATGCGCTCTATAGAGTAGGCAATTCTCTATCAAATGAGTCTAGAAAGAACTGTTAGAACCTCGGCTAAGTGCTCAAGAACGAGAAAAGAAAATTGCGTTATTTAATCTAGCCCACCCGTTATGATACATATTGTTAATAAACACCGATGATCAACTAGAGTAGAGATTGGTGATTAAAAACTGATAACGGTATTTCAAATTCGTCCTATTAAAGTTATAAACAATCTTTTCCACAATTATTCCGTAATTTAAAAAAAGAACAAGGATCGACTTTAGGTTTTCTGAGAATCGTATTGGTATCAGTCAATTTCGATTATTCAAGAATCGAGATCGGAATCGCTCATAGCAATATCAATGCTCACAATGAGTCTCTTTTCTAACATTTTTCAATTTTCCCTAAGAAAGTTATTGTAAATTAATCGATATGTGTTGTTTTCTGAACGCTTTTTTCCTTGATGCTAGCATTGTTTTTTTTTTCAACATTGTTTAATTAAATGTCTGAACAATTAACTTAAATTCGTATTTAAGAAAAGAACTTTTCAATCAAATTTGAAATTGGAATCAACTATCTCATTTTCAGCTAGGACTTTATGACAATCGTCCATCCTTATAGTTGAACACAATACTTCTTCAGAATACACTCATTCTTATACTTTCACTTGCTGGTGTCTCAGCTATGTATGTAGGTAGTGTGTACATTCGAAAGAAGAATTCTAAACGATTGCTACAAAGTTTTTGATCATTTTAATCGCTAAGGAAAAGGAAATGAAACAGAGATTGTTCAATTTATTATGTTTATGAAATTCTACGAAAATTAAAAAGAACATTCCGACTTCTAATCTTCTCTTATAGTAGAAAATGATTAAATATTTGCTTAAGATAATTATTATATGATTCAAAAGTTTCTTCGCCACGCTAATCCACTAATTCTTTTCAATTTCTTTCTAGTCAAGTTCAGATTGGTATGAACAGAAGAATATTTTATTATTTGTTTCTGTATATCACTTCCAAACGAATACTCAAGAAATATTTTGTCAGAAGAACAACTTCAAATCAAAGCCAAATGATAATCTCTTCATTCGAATCGATAATGATTTTTGACGATGAATAGTGATGATTTCTCGAACGAACATGTTTCGTAAGAAGCATCATGAGTATATCACGAGATGTTGAAGGTACACTTCGATAAGTAACACAGCATCTATTTACATGTAAGATGATGAATTTTGATGAAGAATATACGAGACTATCGAGGCATAATAGGATCCAATTCGTGAGCACTTTCGGTGGTGTGAGCGGAAAACGACGACCACCAAATGAAAGATATTGTAGTTGAGGAAAAGCTTTGTTCGTTGGCAATTGTTTGATCAAAGATGCAGATGGATTGTTTGTGTATGATTCTAAACGAATATTTAGTTGTCGAACGAATGGCCAAGGTGAAGCAGAATATTTAAGAAGAAGTCGAACGTCAGACCAGTATAGCGTCAAATACTCAAGTACAGGAGCACATTCACGAAATTGCTCGAGAATAATTAAACGACAATCAATTGATATAACAGATTGATCATACGATTCCCTAGATCTCATTGGATTCCATTCAAAATCAACTCGAAGATAACGCAAAAATGGAAGTACTATACGGCAAGAATCTGGATTTGGATTCATTTTCTAAACAATCTTTTTAGATGAAAATGTCGATAGATTTACGTTGAATACTTACTTTAATATCAAAAAACAAATGAAGTGAATTAACATGTTTGAAATGAGTAAGAGTAGTGTTGATGGATAAAGGATCACGATCAATTATCCATTCAATATGAGTGATATTATTATTAATTGTCGATTGCCGTCCAATAGTATGATTATACACTAGTCGTTGTCTATTTAATAGATACGGAAGTGTGTAAAGAAACATCACTTCATTTATCTCATATTCAACAGTATAATGATTTAAGTTAAACCAATAAAGATCAATCTTTTCAAGTCTTGTTTCAGCAGGTAAATAGAGCACAAACTGAAGACAACATAATTGAATCATAAAAGTTTTAATGCAGCTTTTAAACGCAATAAGTTCATTCTTATCTGCATATAAAAAAAAACAAAAACCGATTTTTACCAACTATAGTTATAGACAACCTGGCTTTTCTAGCATTGATACGTACCTTTAACATTACAATTCACCAAAATTAATGATTCAACTTGACTCATTGATCTTATATGTTCTATCAATATAATAACATTCCTAATGGGCACTTGTCGCAACTGTAGTGTGCGTAAATGTGGTAGACTGGCTTCACTTGTATTGAAATCTTTGGGGCATAATGTAGAACAAGATGAATCTTCATATCGATTGTACAATTGATACCTATCATCTATTGTCTTTTCCAGTGTAACATGAAGATGTTTTATGCACGGTAAAGTATCGCATTGTACTAACACTGCCAAATCGGATATATGTTGTAACGAGAGACGCAAATGGACAGTGTTCGGAAATGTAAGAACTTGACCATGACAGGTGACATGTTCATTTAAAGAATTCGACCATTGATAATATTCATCGTCTAGAACAAAACAAGATCAAATGCAAATTGGTGCACATTCATTTCTTAAGAAGAGATGATCATTCAAAACAAAGAGTATTTAAAGAGTGATCTTAGAAACAGAAAAAAGTTTTTCTACTACTATTTGTATAAACGTTATATCTTACAATAATATATTCACATCAGATGTTTTTCTTTAAACTTTTTTCGAAATCAAGACGAATGAAACAATTTTTCACTTCACTTTCATTCTATCTATGAATGAGTTCGCAATCGAGGCAAACATTTCATTTTGCACATTTGAATAATAATATACTTCTCTAAGGTTTTTTACACCAAAAGAATTTTAGCTCAAATAGAGAAAATTGCTGCCCGATGCTCAATCCGTCTCTCTTAATTTAGTTAACAGTTTAAATATGTTTCCATATTGAATTTTCTTTGACTTTTCGGAAATCTTAGCTAGAAAATGAGTTCTCATCTGAATTTTTTTTAACGCTCTCGTCAACTAGAATACACCCAAAAATAATGTCGACGCTTAGGTACCCAAAACATCACTTTTCTAACGTTTAACATTAAGCTTTGAATGTTACAAAACATCGAGCTTCATTATTCAGAAAACTTCACGGTCTTAAATTGAAAAAAAAAAGGTCGATCTCTCAATCCTATACATAGTGATCGTTCAAATGTTTTATTCAATATAACACTGAAGTTGCATTTTCCAATAGATTTGTGAACGTTAAAGATTTAGGAATAACTTGTTCTATCATAGATCAATGGATTTCACTCTGAACTGAAATTTAACTACAATCTGTATCTAATGATAAAAATAGTAAATTGATATCAATGTTTTATTAAGAAATAATCACCTGAAATCATCTCATGATTAAACACATTCACCCAACTTTATTTTCAAGTGAAAAACGTTCCTACTTATCGTTATGTTCAACCAAATCAATTTCTAAATTCTTTATGAAATTGTTCGAAAATAAATCTAGATTATTACAGTACATTGCTGTTATTTAAATCAAATATTTCGTCAATAAATCATAAGAATCAGATTCAACATGACACTCCATATACACCAAAGCGTTTGGATTCATTTTGTCTCCTATAATCGTAGAATTTATTCCTCTCAACATCGAACTTTGAACTATATATTCGACTAGAGTTAATCCAAGAATGAAATTAATTTAGACATCGATTTTTCTAAATTCGAAAAAAGGATACGCGATCATCAATGCATATCATATTCGAAGAGCTAGTTCGTTTCTCGATTCCGTTTGTTTCAAAAAACTTTCTATATAATCCTCTTTTCATTTTCACGTTTTAGAATAAAACATTCGTCCAATAGCGTTTGTATTACATACATTCTTCATCTATTAATCTCAAGTTTAGTTCTACTTAACTAGAAATATTTGATAATAATAAAAACATTCTATATTTTGAAAATTTCATTTATTTTCAAAGGTTTATTTTATATTAAGTCTCTAATTTATGATATTCTTGTTAATTAAGAAGACACAGTATAATACCATTAAATTAAACAAATGTATCTACGAGCTGACGAAATGAAAATATTTCAGACACTTATATTTTATGGCAATTCATCAGAAGAACAGAATCAGCAACAAGACACACGAATATTCGTGAAAAAAGAAAAGATTTTCGGTTACCTCTAATAATGATGAATTCCATTGTGTGCAGAGAAATGCCTTGCTCGATGAACCATTTCAATATAACATTATATCTCTCGAGCGTATTAAAATAAAAGACAATACGACGCAGTATCGATGCGTGTCGACGAATAAGTAGAATAATATTTGTTCGAACATATCTATTGATAAGATCCATATAGACCGTACATTGTCGAATGCGTGGAAGAAAAGAGTTATCATTTTCAAGCCATCGATTAACAATTTCATTCGATATAACTGATTCATTGAACAAAAGAGAAGTTATACGATAAGCTATTGTTGGATGTTCATATTCGAAATAATGCAACCATTGACGATACGTTGTAAAAAACATCGACGACAGTGTCAAAGCAACTCGATCCTGTGCTGTTTGAGCTAACAGTTGAATGCGATTATTAAGCTTCCATTGAAGCCATGTTGAATTGAGTTCGGACCAGGTGAAATAGACAAAAAGTTCTAACCACAATTCATTTGGTAGATCTTCTAATCTGGTAGCAGTCATAGCAATATACACCGTTTATCTTTGCGTATCACATCAAGAAAAGGCTATATATGTAGAGCAGACAAGCAATGCTTGTCCGTCCATGACACGAAGCAGTGTTTTTTTCCTCTATTTTTCTCAATAGTCTATTTAAACATCATGGATGACATGATCATTGTTTGTACATACTCCAATAGGACAAAGTGTGTAATATATTTCAAACATCAGCTCAAACACAAAGGTCCTAACACAGATTGAAAAATTTAATACTGAGAATTAATTAATGTGATTGCCGTTGTTACGTAAAAATATCAATGATGTTTCTTAATTCAGTGTTAAATTTTCAATCTGTTTCATCTCCTAAGTTGAAAGTAAACGAAGGAATGCGATTAGCGCATTATCATTGTATTTTAATTTAAATTATTTTTTAGACAATTTGAGACATGATACACCAATCACATCTCTTCATTCATCTTTAATTTTAACTTACTTTTTCACTATGTTTGACTTCTTAGACGATTTAACGTCAATTAAACTCAAATGTTCGAGTCATCATGTTTCATTTAATTTCAATGTAATTCATTTTTTGTATGTGTTGGATATCCAAAATCACTTTTCTTTGATCGATCAAAGTGAACATCTTATGGCAAAATTACAACAAATATGGAACTTCTTGTTTGTATCTTTGATAAATTCGAATCGAATTTCATTGATATAACATATATGAACTCGCAAAATATTCAAGGTATCTTAAAAGAAGCGGTGGAAACACTTGAATTTCTTCAAAAAAAGCTCAGATATTTTGTCGCTATATGGACTGATGGCAAAACAATATCCTGCCTTTTTATACTACTATATTATTCTTCGACAAATATAATAATGATCAAATTTCGATGAGAGTTTATTGTAATAAGTTCATTTATTTAAAAGGTTTGATGTTAAACACCGAAACGGAAAATGTCGAAAAAAAGTAGGAAAATGTCGAAAAGTTAGATGTCAATAGTGGTTTTTTTCTTTATTAATATTAAATGAGAAGAATTTATTCAGTTATTCGACACACGACAATAAAAAAATAATTAGATAAAATTTATAAATGTTCATCTCATATTTTGTGTCCCCAATTAATAATTCCAACTTATTCAAGAGCCTCTTTGTACTAATTTCATTGCTGCTAAATCTTTTTTTGAGAGTTTCAAATCGACGTTGAAACATTATTGTGCGTGTTGATTGTTTGGAAGAGGATGCATATACATCAAGTCGAACTGTTAAATGTTCACAGCGAGCATTCTCACTCTGGGTTAGCTTTATGAACATCCAAATATTCGGATGTTTTTCCATAACACATGTTTCTTTTTTTCGACGTTCTGCCTTAGTCTACATTTTCTATATTTTCCTTTCGACATTTTCCTTTTCTTTGTTTTTCGTTTATCGAATATTGCTTTCGATATTTGTCGGTTTGTTTTTTTCGACATTTTTCTATTCGATCTTCTTTTTTTCTTCGTTTTCCGTCAGCCCTCATTTAAATAGAAATAATTTCACTGTTGTTATCATTAGAATAACATCAACTCGTCATATTGCACTTTTTTCATTAATGTAGATAGGTCGTATCAGAACACAAGCATCAGAATTTATGTCAAAATGGCCGTTTATTCAAAACAAAACTCGGGACAAGACAAACAGAATTCTGGACATAATGAAAAAAAAAACCAATGTTCTGAACTTTTTACGATTCATATATTCGAACACATTGTAAATTTTCCATTTCTTATTTATAACTAATATTTTAATATTCAAATAAATAATACTAGAAAAACGCACAAGAAAATCTGACGCAATGCTTTTAGAATGGTTCATTGTCATTCTTTTCATGACTTGTTCATTTCTACTGTAGGTTGGAAACATTGTCTCGTTTCATTAGCGTATTGTGCATAGGAATCAATATATGGACGA